TAGGTTTACACAACCTTCTATCTGTTGTTAAAGCAAACGTCTGCATTAGTGTTGGTGGTCATTTAAATTCAGGCTTGAGCAACAGTAACATATTCATCCATGGCATTGAATCATATTTCACTTCTTGTTATTGCACTGCTTAGAATACTTGATTCGGATTGGTCACATTGTACATTCCAGAGGTCTGTTAATTTTCCGTAACAGACTGTTACTAAGGAGAGTAGATCGTCGCTACATGTAAGTAGAGCAGACCGTTGCTAAGGAGAGCAAACTGTTGCTAAGGAGAGCAGACCGTTGGTAAGGAGAGCAGACTGTTGCTAAGGAGAGCAGACCGCAGACCGTTGGTAAGGAGAGCAGACCGTCACTAAGGAGAGCAGACCGTTGGTAAGGAGAGCAGACCGTCACTAAGGAGAGCAGACCGTTGGTAAGGAGAGCAGAACGTTGGTAAAGAGAGCAGACCGTTGCTAAGCAGAGCAGATCGTTGCTAAGGAGAGGAGACCGTTGCTAAGGAGAGCAGATTGTTGCTAAGGAGTTGAGACCGTTGCTGAGGAGAGCATGCCGTTGCTAAGGAGAGTAGACTGGAGGATCAGGGGACTACTATCTAATAATAATAATAATACATCTAATTTTTAAAGCGCTTTTCCAAATGTTCATAGACATGCAGTCATATCATCATCAGTCAACACTTTTTGATTTAATTTGAAAGAAAAACCAACACCAGAGGGTTGTTCTGACAACATGAGACACTCACTGCGGGATTTAAACATGTTGAAACATGCAGCTCTAAATCATTCTCTAACTTTAACAACATTTTGCAGAACTCAAGCAGCATGAGGAGGTGTTTAAACATGTTTTAGTTGTAGCTGTGAAACATGACGACAAACATGTGAGATAAACATATTTTATTGTACAACACGGAGAGACAGGCACGGGCAGAGCAGGAAGGAACTCCAGCAGGAGAGATTATTACAGGAGCTTTACTTTCATATCAAAAGCAGAAAATAAGATACAACTTTTATAAATCACAGCCACGACATTAGCTGACCGGGTCCAACAGCGAGGGCATTCAGGGTCAGAGGAGGAAGCAAACACTCAAACAAAGCACCCGAGTGAGTGTGCAGAAAAGCTGCGTTCACGTCAGGAACGTCTGCACATTCATGCAGGGAGACATGTGGAGATATCTTACACTTTTTACAGTGGTGCCGTTCCAAAAAACAGCCTTAAAAAAACACTTTCCTCTGGGAGAGAGTCACAGACAATGTGATACTGTTCCTCACACACACACACACACACACACACACACACACACACACACACACACACACACACACACACACACACACACACACACACACACACACACACACACCTTGTCTTTGGAGTGAATAAGTTACACTGAATGGGGAAACACTCTTGGGCGTCTGGGCCAGAGTTTCAGGAGGCAGAGATACAGATCCATTAACACAGGTGCAGTTAAAAAAGAAAAGAAGCTCAGCAATGCAGAAACATCAAATCCATCCCAACCCTCTCTAACGGTTTACCTGGAAACCAGTTGGTAGTGGTTCATGTAATAACTTGAATGCACTAACCAAATGATTCTATTCCCATTTTGTATTTGACACATGTTTGATTAGAGTTCAGTTAAACGGGCGTGGCGAATTATTGGTGACTTCAACTATTTGTTTTGCACAATATTCTGATATAAGCAGTTCATGCTTCAAGGGATTTGGTAAGTGGTTGCAGTTGGCAGACTGATGGGAGACACATTTTAAAACCAATTGTCAAAATCAAAACAAGTCAGAGATTGGTTTTGGAGCTCGACTCATACCAACAACCTAATGCTACACTTCCCACAATGCAACTCAATGGAGCATTGGTTAGACCATCCGTGCCAATGAACGTCATTTTGCTCATCTCTAAACGGAAATTGAAAAAAACTGTTTGCTTCGTCACAGCAGCAAAAGTAGTCGGTGGAGACGCCAAGACTAAATTGCAGGAATTTCATCAACATGTTGACCTCTGAACTCTCTTAAAACCTGACTTTCCATTCTTCTTCACGCTTGGAAATATTGAGTTTAAACCAGAAATAAACCAAATCAAAGCAAGCTGCTTCTAAGGAACATTTGCACAGAAATAACATCTTTTATGAAAACACTTCTTCTTAAACTAGCTTCTCTAGCACTCTGTCTTCAATCTGTCGCAGTAATCCCTTCATTTCAGAACAGAGCTGTTGTTGATTTGACTGTAAATCAGGCAAAGAAATGCGATTACTTTTTCCCAGCAAAAGGACAGAAGATGAGCTTCAGCATGGATGATTCAGAAAGCACAAAGAGCTTAACATCTTGGCAAAGACTTTCTTTACTGATGATGCAACAATGGACGGATTTCTCCTCAGAATTGAACGAGTGCTTTAAATCTGCTTATAATACAGATGAAGTGTGTGCATGTGATGTCCAGCGCGCCACAACCTCTGCATCTTATTCTAATCTCTGCAATATGTCAACTGTGTGTTTGGAGTAGAAGTGCCTCCTGTAACATGTTGGAATGACAGAGTGAACTGTTGCCGCAGGACGGCGACGCATTACTCCTCCTGTTTGTATTTATAGATGCTGCCAGGGACTTAACACGGAATAAATCCTCCTCTCTGCTGCTGATCACACTGACAACATCTGTCCACTGCTGCTCGCCATCAACAGCAATAAATAGGACACTCGGGGACGGGTCAGGGACGCATGATGTACTATTCAATGTGGAAATGATGACTATCTGGCAGGAAATGTGCGAGATGCATTTCCAACGTTTGAAAACCCTACACCACATAGGACATATCCTGCTGATGTTCAGGTGTATATCAGTATGTAGTGTCTCTACTTTAAAGAGTCCTCTCCTGCTGATGTTCAGGTGTATATCAGTATGTAGTGTCTCTACTTTAAAGAGTCCTCTCCTGCTGATGTTCAGGTGTATATCAGTATGTAGTGTCTCTACTTTAAAGAGTCCTCTCCTGCTGATGTTCAGGTGTATATCAGTATGTAGTGTCTCTACTTTAAAGAGTCCTCTCCTGCTGATGTTCAGGTGTATATCAGTATGTAGTGTATCTACTTTAAAGAGTCCTCTCCTGCTGATGTTCAGGTGTATATCAGTATGTAGTGTCTCTACTTTAAAGAGTCCTCTCCTGCTGATGTTCAGGTGTATATCAGTGTGTAGTGTCTCTACTTTAAAGAGTCCCTCTCCTGCTGATGTCCAGGTGTATATCAGTATGTAGTGTATCTACTTAAAGAGTCCTCTCCTGCTGATGTTCAGGTGTATATCAGTATGTAGTGTATCTACTTTAAAGAGTCCTCTCCTGCTGATGTCCAGGTGTATATCAGTATGTAGTGTCTCTACTTTAAAGAGTCCTATCCTGCTGATGTCCAGGTGTATATCAGTATGTAGTGTCTCTACTTTAAAGAGTCCTCTCCTGCTGATGTTCAGGTGTATATCAGTATGTAGTGTCTCTACTTTAAAGAGTCCTCTCCTGCTGATGTCCAGGTGTATATCAGTGTGTAGTGTCTCTACTTTAAAGAGTCCTATCCTGCTGATGTCCAGGTGTATATCAGTATGTAGTGTCTCTACTTTAAAGAGTCCTCTCCTGCTGATGTTCAGGTGTATATCAGTATGTAGTGTCTCTACTTTAAAGAGTCCTATCCTGCTGATGTCCAGGTGTATATCAGTATGTAGTGTCTCTACTTTAAAGAGTCCTCTCCTGCTGATGTTCAGGTGTATATCAGTATGTAGTGTCTCTACTTTAAAGAGTCCTCTCCTGCTGATGTTCAGGTGTATATCAGTATGTAGTGTCTCTACTTTAAAGAGTTCTCTCCTGCTGATGTTCAGGTGTATATCAGTATGTAGTGTCTCTACTTTAAAGAGTCCTCTCCTGCTGATGTTCAGGTGTATATCAGTATGTTGTGTCTCTACTTTAAAGAGTCCTCTCCTGCTGATGTTCAGGTGTATATCAGTATGTAGTGTCTCTACTTTAAAGAGTCCTCTCCTGCTGATGTTCAGGTGTATATCAGTATGTAGTGTCTCTACTTTAAAGAGTCCTCTCCTGCTGATGTTCAGGTGTATATCAGTATGTAGTGTCTCTACTTTAAAGAGTCCTCTCCTGCTGATGTTCAGGTGTATATCAGTATGTAGTGTCTCTACTTTAAAGAGTCCTCTCCTGCTGATGTTCAGGTGTATATCAGTGTGTAGTGTCTCTACTTTAAAGAGTCCTCTCCTGCTGATGTTCAGGTGTATATCAGTATGTAGTGTCTCTACTTTAAAGAGTCCTCTCCTGCTGATGTTCAGGTGTATATCAATATGTAGTGTCTCTACTTTAAAGAGTCCTCTCCTGCTGATGTTCAGGTGTATATCAATATGTAGTGTCTCTACTTTAAAGAGTCCTCTCCTGCTGATGTTCAGGTGTATATCAGTATGTAGTGTCTCTACTTTAAAGAGTCCTCACCTGCTGATGTTCAAACTAAAGAGACAGTGGGCAGCAGAGAGACCGGGTGAAAGGAGAGCAAAACAAAAGAGACAAAGCGTTTAGATTTTGACACACTGGCCGTTTCTCAATGTCAAGTATACCGGCTGCAGAGCCACTATTTCAAGTATACTACGTCATCGAGTGGCGCAGAATGCTGGGCATTTAAACAGTCCTTCGGCGCCACTCGATGACGTAGTATACTTGAAATAGTTGATCTGCAGCATGTGTACTTGCGATTGAGAAACGGCCACTGAGTGATAAAGGAGAGTACACCTTGTTAGGAGCTTGTTTCCCCTCCTCCCTCCTGAAGGTAGCATCAGTTCAACCCTCTCTACTTCCATTCACTCATAATCTCTTGTAAAAAGCACAGTGGCATAAATCAGTGTGTACAAATTCAGCCCGCGACAGGGCGTAACCTAATCTCTGTTTGGTAACCATTCTGAGATGTACAGATAACACTTGCAATTGTCCAAACACACTTCATAACTGTCTTACCGTGATTTTAGTGGCGTTTAATTATAAATATAGCAAGCGTACAACCTAGAGATGATACATGTTTGCTGACAATTGCAATGAGATCTTCAGTGAGGCAGGTGGTCATTGGAATCTGAAGGGTGTATCCCTCTGTGGAGCAAGAATCTGTTTCAGGGAAATGTGCTCGCCTTAAATGTGGAAATATTATGAGTACAATTGTTACGTTTGGCTTGATATTGGAAACCCAAAATAAACACTTTAAAATGTTTGTAAAAGCTGCTTCTTTGCCTCGGATTACAGACAGGTTTGTATTTAGATGTAACGTCATGTGATCGCGCTTTTTGGCCTTTTAACAATAGTTGGTCACACTTCCATCGTACCTCATGTCAATCAGTAAGCACATGCACACACACTGCATCAAGTGAAAGTAAAGTATAAAAACAACAAAGAAAATGCAGGAAATCACACTTTAAATATCTTAAATAATAAATAATTTAAACTGGATACATATCATTTATATACACACTCATGTAAATCATAAGCTTTCAAAATACACAAACTGTATGTGGGATTTGGTTTGAATAAATATTTGATTCAGAGAGTTTGAGGTCAAAAAGATCAGCGCACAGTTTTGAAAGCTGGATATAGAAAATGCATTGCAGCGACACACGTTAATATACAATCAGATCAGATGCAAGGACATGTTTCTCCAGCGTATTTAATGTGGCCTGACTCGCAGAATTAAATAAACAATTAAATAAAATTACAGTATTTTTAAATTTGCTTTCACTCGGTGACCTTCATCTGATCTGGCACTATGTAAGACATTTCTCAGAGATCAGCTGATCAGCAGGGTCACTCGGAAAGGTGTCAAAAGAAAAATAATGGAGGTAAAAATGAAAATAATTCATTGTTTTTGTCCACATTTACGTCACCAGGACTTATGGTTGAGAAAGAGGTCACATTTTACATTTTTTAGATCTGAGCAGAAATGATGTTTTCTTTGAGTGAAATGGCCAGAATTCTGAGAAAACTTCTAAACTTTTCGAAAAAGTCTGACTTTTTATCAAAATTCTGAAATGTTATCAAAATTCTGTTGTTTTCACAAATTTCGACTTTTTTGCAAATTCGGACTTTTTGTCAAAATTCTAACTTTTTCAGATTTCTGAAAATACTTTTTTCAATATTCCGACTTATTTCCCAGAATCTTAACTTTTTCTGAAATTCCAATTTTTTCCTCAGAATTCAGATTTTAATCTCAGAACTAAAACAAACAAACCCTATTGGTCAGATCTCTAAATATCTTGTAGCGCTAATCCTCTTCCGTATCAATAGCTTCATGTAATTCATGTATCATTTCTCCCCTAGGTGGAAGCATATTTGGACAACATGACAATGCTGTCATTCGATTATGAGCAACTCTGCATCGTTTCCCTCAAAACTGATAAATAGCAAATCATATGTAAAGCTTTTGACACAGTACAGGAACAAAATAACAAGAGGCACATTCCCTTTAAAACAACAACAACATGTCCATCATAAACAAAGCAACTGAATCCTCTGTTCTTCATCTGCCAATCAAAACCTCCCATTTAAAGTCACATGATGTTCTTCCAAAGTGCCACAAATCCATACGAAAACATCAGACACGGTTGTTTTCTGATGCCTCACCTTTCCATTACGTCAGCCAATCATCAATCAGCGGCGCCATCACATGACAGCATTGATCCTCATTCTACTTTTAATCTGAACGTCCTTCACAGACTTCGCTCTTCAACTGTCTGCATGTCTTTCGTCCAGTCCGTCACACGATGATGTCGTAGAGTCTCCCGACGCGGCCCATCAACTCTCGGAGCGCCTGGCGGACTCGAGCGTCGGTCACGTGACAGGTCAGCTGACTGACGCAGGGGTAGAGCGCCGGCAGCAGAGCCAGGAAGGACGAGTCTGGGAGCAGCAGGACCTGATTCAGGAGCGTCAGCACCATGTTGGTCCATGCCTGCAGGAGGGAGACAGCGTCAACGACACAGCATTCAACACAGATTCACATGTTTGCCGGTCTGTGATGTAGAGCAGTGTTTCTCAAACTTTTCATACCAAGGACACTTAACCAACCAAACACTCACGGACCACCTAACTCCACAAATATCCCAAAACACATCGTTTTTCTAGAACAGATTATAAATCGCCTGAAATGGTACAAACAGGTGGCAACATGTGTGACGAATGTTTTGCTCTGGGCTATATCATGCAACAGAAAGTGAAACTTAAGCTCGCTCCATTGCGGAGATATTCCCGTGAGAGTGCGGAAAACTTAAATGTATTTATTTCACATTTGAAATAAATACATTTAACTCACGGACCACTAGGGGGCGCTCACGGACCACCAGTGGTCCGCGGACCACACTTTGAGAAGCACTGAATTGTAGAGGAAAGTTATTTTTAAAAGGTTGAGTGAGAATTTTTACTTTTTCTCAGAATTCAGAACTTTTTTCTCTGAATTCCCAAAACATTTTTCAGAATTCCGAATATGTTTTTAACTCCGACTTTTTTTTCTCAAAATTCAATTTCTTTCTCTGAATTCCGATATTAACCACAACAACAAAAAAAAGGTGTTTGGTGAGTTTATATTAGAATGCTATGTCACAAGTTTGTATTAAAAAATCCAACTTTTTATTCAGAATTCCAACTTTTTTTGTCAGATTTTAGAACAATATATATTTTTTATATTTTATTTCTTATTAATTATTTCTTTCTGTGGTGAAATATAAAACCATTTATTGTATTATTTATTTTATTTGATGTCTTTATGATGTATGTATCCCTCTTCTCTGCACCTGTATCTGGGCCTCCGAGTCCCTTAGGGTGATGCTGTGGGAGCTGATGGTGGACCCTGATCTGGGTCTCTTCTCCTGCCTCAGTACCTCCGGCCCCGCGCTGACAGAGTGCCTCAGTGGGCCCCCCCCCCCCTGCTGGTCCACCAGATTTTGGGGTCTCATCAGGGGGGGTCTCTGTGGCTCCGCCCCTCCACCGCGGCCCTGCTCCTTCATGAACAGGTTGACGTTGCTCTGCTGCTGCTGTTTCCGGCGCTTGTACTCCATCATGAGCTTGCTGATGGTCTTGTCCGGGCGATGGTGTACAGTTTGTTCCCGGCGCTCTCCCACCACTCCTTCCTCCTCCCAGGTGTTCCTCCCACTGAGCTTCCTGTCAGGGTGGAGTCCCTCCGGTCGCTTCCCTGTCGCAGGTTTAGGGGAAGACTGCCGGTGCAGCCGAAGAAGAGACAGGAAACGGTTATATAATAATAATAATAATAATACATTGGATTTTTATGGCGCTTTTTCTAATGCTCAAAGACGCTTTACATAAAATCAGGTTATAATCAGAACATGGTTGCTTTTAATTCTGCTCTCAGTTTTCTAAAGCAGTTTGAATTGCCTTGTGTTGAAAGGTGCTATATAAATCAGCTTGCCCAAATAAATGCACGCCCCCCCTCAGTTATAAATTGATAATCAGACAAGCCTGAAAAGTTTGCCTCATGTGATATGCGCTGTTCTCAGACCTGTATCCGGGGCTTGGACTTGGAGTCGGAGTGTCTCCGGGTGACGCTGTGCTCTCCGCCTCTCGACACCGATACCCCCCGTCCTCTGAAGGCGTCTCCCTGGCCGACAAACCCCCTGCTGAGGTGGGAGTGGAGGTTTCTGACTGGAAGAGAGGCAGGAAGAAGACGTGCTCTCCTCCTCCTCCCCCCCCTCCTCTCAGCAGAGTCACCTCCTCCAGAGTGCTCTCCAGGTCGCGGTGCATCTGGATGTAGCTGCTGCACAGATCCAGGATCAGTTTGTAGAGACGCTTCACCAGCCAGGCCCAGTCAGCGCTGCTCAGAGGCTGAACGCTGAGAGAGGGGGGCCGTCAGAGGGGTGACGCTTGTCCCGACCTCGAGGGGGGCTCACCTACCGAGGAGGAGGAGGAAACAGAGTTAGGTGGATTCATGGATAGAGTTTTCCTACCCATTCATCTTATAAAACTTTATATTGCGATGCTCAGATTGGGTTACTGATTGCATGTTACAGATAACTAGTATTTATAACGGAATACATTTTTAAAGTACCCCTTACAGCCCGGGTTAGAACTCTTCCAACTGAAGTAGACAGTTGTAAAAGTCGTAATTTTGAGACAAAGTCGTAATTTTGAGAAAAAGTCATAATTTTGAGACAAAGTCGTAATTTTGAGAAAACGTTCGGAATTACAAAAATAAATCTGAATAAATCCTGATTTTAAAATAAATCTGTAAAATACAGAATTTAAATAAAAATACTGAGACAGACAGAAAATCCTGAATTTAGCCACATGCACCGAAAAGAGCTGTGTGTTCATTTGTGTATATGTGTGTGTGTGTGTGTGCGAGTGTGTGTGTGTGTGTGTGTGCGTGTGTTACCTGTGCTGTTTCTTCGAAGATGTCTTCGTCCTCTGAGGAGGCGGATCCAGGGTGGGAAGAGTCAGAGCTTCCCTCCTCTTCCTCAAACAGCAGCCTCTTCACCTGGATGAAATAAATGGGGAGATTGTATTGCTATTGTCTGCTCTGAGTGGTTAGCTGTCCGGCTCTGGATCACGCACAATGTGTTGGAGCGCCAGCCAATAGAAGCGCAAGTGTTATATAATGATGTCACTATGTTCAGAAAGTAAACAAAGGAGTCCAATGTATGATTTGCAGGCTTTGCAGACCATTTACATGCACTATATAAGACACTACAGGAGAGGGGAAAGATTAGGGCCTCTTTAAAGCTACAAGCCTGAATAGAAACGATCAAAGGCTCACAGCAATTTAGTCTTTCCTTCAAGCTTGTCCAATTATTAATGGTAACTAAAGGGGGCGGGGCTTTTAGTTGGGCATTAAGGCAAGGTTAAGATGCAGTGATGGTACGAAATATATTTGTGCGCCTTTGATCTAAACGTAGGGTTTTGGGTGTGATCGTGTACCTTTGATCTAAACGTAGGGTTTTGGGTGTGATCGTGTATCCTTGATCTAATCGTAGGGTTTTGGGTGTGATCGTGTACCTTTGATCTAATCGTAGGGTTTTGGGTGTGATCGTGAACCTTTGATCTAAACGTAGGGTTTTAGGTGTGACTGTGTACCTTTGATCTAATCGTAGGGTTTTGGGTGTGATTGTGTACCTTTGATCTAATCGTAGGGTTTTGGGTGTGATTGTCAACCTTTGATCTAAACGTAGGGTTTTGGGTGTGATCGTGTACCTTTGATCTAATCGTAGGGTTTTGGGTGTGATCGTGTACCTTTGATGTAAACGTACGGTTTTGGGTGTGATCGTGTACCTTTGATCTAAACGTAGGGTTTTTGGTGTGATCGTGTACCTTTGATCTAAACGTAAGGTTTTGGGTGTGATTGTGAACCTTTGATCTAAACGTAGGGTTTTGGGTGTGATCGTGTACCTTTGATCAACGTAGGGTTTGGGTGTGATCGTGAACCTTTGATCTAAACGTAGGGTTTGGTTTGGGTGTGATCGTGTACCTTTGATCTAAACGTAAGGTTTTGGGTGTGATCGTGTACCTTTGATCTAATCGTAGGGTTTTGGGTGTGATTGTGTACCTTTGATCTAAACGTAGGGTTTTGGGTGTGATCGTGTACCTTTGATCTAATCGTAGGGTTTTGGGTGTGATCGTGTACCTTTGATCTAAACGTAGGTTTTGGGTGTGTTGTGAACCTTGATCTAACGTAGGGTTTTGGGTGTGATCGTGTACCTTTGATCTAACGTAGGGTTTTGGGTGTGATCGTGACCTTTGATCTAAACGTAGGGTTTTGGGTGTGATCGTGTACCTTTGATCTAATCGTAAGGTTTTGGGTGTGATCGTGTACCTTTGATCTAATCGTAGGGTTTTGGGTGTGATTGTGTACCTTTGATCTAATCGTAAGGTTTTGGGTGTGATCGTGTACCTTTGATCTAATCGTAGGGTTTTGGGTGTGATCGTGTACCTTTGATCTAATCGTAGGGTTTTGGGTGTGATCGTGTACCTTTGATCTAAACGTAAGGTTTTGGGTGTGATCGTGTACCTTTGATCTAATCGTAGGGTTTTGGGTGTGATTGTGTACCTTTGATCTAAACGTAGGGTTTTGGGTGTGATCGTGAACCTTTGATCTAAACGTAAGGTTTTGGGTGTGATTGTGAACCTTTGATCTAAACGTAGGGTTTTGGGTGTGATCGTGTACCTTTGATCTAAACGTAGGGTTTTGGGTGTGATCGTGAACCTTTGATCTAAACGTAGGGTTTTGGGTGTGATCGTGTACCTTTGATCTAAACGTAGGGTTTTGGGTGTGATCGTGTACCTTTGATCTAAACGTAGGGTTTTGGGTGTGATCGTGTACCTTTGATCTAATGTAGGGTTTTGGGTGTGATCGTGTACCTTTGATCTAACGTAGGGTTTTGGGTGTGATCGTGAACCTTTGATCTAATCGTAGGGTTTTGGGTGTGATCGTGTTCTTTGATCTAAACGTAGGTTTTGGGTGTGATCGTGTACCTTTGATCTAAACGTAGGGTTTTGGGTGTGATCGTGTACCTTTGATCTAAACGTAGGGTTTTGGGTGTGATCGTGTACCTTTGATCTAATCGTAGGGTTTGGGTGTGATCGTGTACCTTTGATCTAAACGTAGGGTTTTGGGTGTGATCGTGTACCTTTGATCTAAACGTAGGGTTTTGGGTGTGATCGTGTACCTTTGATCTAAATGTAGGGTTTTGGGTGTGATCGTGTACCTTTGATCTAAACGTAGGGTTTTGGGTGTGATGTGACCTTTGATCTAAACGTAGGGTTTTGGGTGTGATCGTGTACCTTTGATCTAACGTAGGGTTTTGGGTGTGATCGTGAACCTTTGATCTAAACGTAGGGTTTTGGGTGTGATTGTACCTTTGATCTAAACGTAGGGTTTGGGTGGTGTGATCGTGTACCTTTGATCTAAACGTAGGGTTTTGGGTGTGATCGTGTACCTTTGATCTAACGTAGGGTTTTGGGTGTGATCGTGAACCTTTGATCTAATCGTAGGGTTTTGGGTGTGATCGTGTACCTTTGATCTAAATGTAGGGTTTTGGGTGTGATCGTGTACCTTTGATCTAAACATAGGGTTTTGGGTGTGATCGTGTACCTTTGATCTAAACATAGGGTTTTGGGTGTGATCGTGTACCTTTGATCTAAACGTAGGGTTTTGGGTGTGATCGTGTACCTTTGATCTAATCGTAGGGTTTTGGGTGTGATTGTGTACCTTTGATCTAATCGTAGGGTTTTGGGTGTGATCGTGTACCTTTGATCTAATCGTAGGGTTTTGGGTGTGATCGTGTACCTTTGATCTAAACGTAGGGTTTGGGTGTGATCGTGAACCTTTGATCTAAACGTAGGGTTTGGGTGTGATCGTGTACCTTTGATCTAAACGTAGGGTTTGTGGTTTTTGTGATCGTGTACCTTTGATCTAAACGTAGGGTTTTGGGTGTGATCGTGTACCTTTGATCTAATCGTAGGGTTTTGGGTGTGATTGTGTACCTTTGATCTAAACGTAGGGTTTTGGGTGTGATCGTGTACCTTTGATCTAAATGTAAGGTTTTGGGTGTGATTGTGAACCTTTGATCTAAACGTAGGGTTTTGGGGTGTGATCGTGTACCTTTGATCTAACGTAGGGTTTTGGGTGTGATCGTGATCTTTGATCTAAACGTAGGGTTTGGGTGTGATCGTGTACCTTTGATCAATCGTAGGGTTTTGGGTGTGATCGTGTACCTTTGATCTAAACGTAGGGTTTTGGGTGTGATCGTGTACCTTTGATCTAATCGTAGGGTTTTGGGTGTGATCGTGTACCTTTGATCTAAACGTAGGGTTTTTGGTGTGATCGTGTACCTTTGATCTAAACGTAGGGTTTTGGGTGTGATCGTGTACCTTTGATCTAAACGTAGGGTTTTGGGTGTGATCGTGTACCTTTGATCTAAACGTAGGGTTTTGGGTGTGATCGTGTACCTTTGATCTAAACGTAGGGTTTTTGGTGTGATCGTGTACCTTTGATCTAAACGTAGGGTTTTTGGTGTGATCGTGTACCTTTGATCTAAACGTAGGGTTTTGGGTGTGATTGTGTACCTGCTGTGCGGTCATGTTCTCGGCCTGGCTCAGCGTGGCACAAAGCAGCGCCTGGAAGTACAGATTGAAGCTCATGGCCGACTGACGGTAGAGATTAGCCGCTCCACACACACCGGACACTTTCATCAGGAGGTACTTCAGACCGGGCCGCGTGTCAAAGTCCCGCGCCGTCCTGCACAATATCGGAGAAGAGAAGATGGAGCTTTATTAATCCCTGTGGGGAAATTCAGATGTTTAACAGCAACAGGGTTAGAATGAAAAACAGGACAGCACAGATTCACAAGATTAAAGATACAATTGAAATTATATACAGCTAAGTAACTTTTTAAATAAGAAATGAACTAAATGAACATATATATTTGGGACATATATACATATTAAATATATGTACATGTTTCATATCAGAGAAGAGCAGCATAGATTCTTTTTATAATCAGTTAAGAGAAAGCCTTTAAGAAAGCCAGGAAATGTTATACGCCTCTCAAATATGGAGTGTTCCTGCTTTTCACTGTTTTATTGAATAGCTTTGGGTCAAATAAAGACATTTAAAGCTATCATTTGGGATTTGGATGTTCTTTTGTCACATTTGTATCACCAAACCATCTTTTCCTAATACAAATGCAGCTAGTTGCAGCCATATCTGCATCTATGTATGAGTGTCATGTTACAGGAAATCAGAAATATTTTGGACTGTTTATTTCTTGTGTCTTAATTTATCTTATGTACATTGCCTTGTTTTTTATACTGCTGCAACGTGAACATTTC